CATTATGGTTATATTGCATTTATGTGTCATTATTCAGATTATAAATATTTCATTCACTTTAGCCTCATCAGGAATTATGTTTAAGAAAAGACATTATTTGATAGGAACATTTTTTTTTTTGGGGTTTTTTATGTGAAAATAGGTTCTGATATCGAATTTTTTAATAAACATTTATTTCTGCTAAGAAATTCAAAACTTAACAAAATTCTATTAAAACTACTTTATATTTTATTTATTTGCCCGTCTTTTCATCCACTTAAAGTCTACATCAGGAATCTCAGAGAGGAACATAAACTAAGTGGATAAGGACCAGATATTACGTATAATGAATGTAAAGATCAGATTACCTTTATTGTCCTCAAGAGGGGAATTTCAGGTGTTTACAGTCTCACAAGACAGAATTAATTACATGATACATCGAGAAACTTAAAGGATAATATTTAATGTGTATGAAAAAGGGAAAGGAATAATAAATGACAACGGTTACGGCCATTAACACAAAATGCAATGTTACAGTAAAATATAGCATAATGAACAGTAGCATCAAAGTCAGATTATTAGGTATATTATATAACAGTGTATGATACTTCAGCTGTAACAGACATCATATGAGTATTTTTACTTGGAGATATAATGTGGTACGAATGCAATAAATTTGTGTGTATACTGTGTTACATAAACCATTACATATTAAAACACATGTAACGGTGGATATCAAAAGTTATAATCATATTTTTTATGGATTTTGTTACATTCCTTTTTTCTTTTTAAAAAATCTTTATTTGAAAGAATAAAGGATTCAACATTCTTGTGCAAAGGCTTGAGTTTATAATCAAATTATACAAAATAAAAATAATAGTTAACTGCTTTTTTGTTTGTACATTCAGAGTTAGAAAGGGGATGTATGTAGCTCTGAAAGGTTGTTTTTTTGGCTTTAAATGTAGAATTATTTGAATTAATCACATAAAACTGTGACAGTCTGTCTTATTCTGTGAATTCAAACAATGCATTTTGATCAGAAATAGAGACAAAATAAAGTAGCAGCGTTTCTCTGAGGGCTCATCAGTGTGTTTGTAACGATTACTCGGATCAAACCTGGGAAGCATTTAAAGGAGCAACTTAAAACTGATTGAGCAACATGTCACAGAGGCTTTTTGTCATTGGCTGGACTGGATGAGGTGTGTGTGTGTGTGTTGCGCGGTGTGCGTGGTGGTGTGTGTGCGTGTGTGTGGTGTGTGTGTGTGCGCGCGTGTGGTCGGATCCCATCAGGTGAACTGGAAACACCTGTGGATGTGAAGGAAAAGACACGATGGACCAGGATGTGAGTCTCTGACCTCCTCTTGTTGTTGCTTTTTGTTTTTGTTTTCATGAAATGTAAAGAAAATATTTTACCTGTAACCTCTGAGGATGAAGATGATGGAGGACTGCGGGAAACTTTCGCCCACACCGTCCTCTGTTTGACCCACACACTAAAAGTCCTGCAGTGAACATGTAAGTAAATACAATCAGGAAAATGTAATTAAAGTAAAAAAAAAGTATAAAAAAGTAATACTCTAAATGTTATATTAAATTAAATTGAGTCATGATTTAATGTAAAAGCTGGTTGAGCTCATTTAGCAAACTAATTATTAATATTATTAATTAATCTGCTGATGATTTTCTCCATTAAACGATTGATTGTTTGGTTCGTAGAATTTCTGAAAATTGTGAGAAAAGTCATGATTTTTTTTTAAGTACAGTACTTAGTACTTAAATGTACTTAGTTACAGGTTTTAGTAGCGATCTGTAGCTATATAAGATAAACTATAGACTATAGATAAACTTTATTGATCCCACAAGGTTATAAGAGGACGTATTTAAATATAAATCCCTTTTACGTTGACGTTTGTCTTGATTTAAGATGAGCGGCAGAGCAATCTGACTCAATCTGATTGAATTACTGTTATTTTTATGTATTTAAATTTTAAAATGTTCTGAGAAACACAAATTAAATTTAATCTGTCCTCAGCTGATGGCAAAAACCTCAGACCTGGACTCCCTAAAACCAGAACAACTGAGACTCAAACGATCTTAATGGCTACAGTAGAAACAAGGAGGAGGAGGTGATCATTTAATTATAAAAACTCTTGAAAACTTACTGAAGAAAATCTTCCAACATCAAGGTCAACTGAGGCCTTTCAGTATTTCTACACACATTGCTCAACAGGGTTGGGAAGATTACTTTAAAATCCAAGTGTAATCCAATACAATTATAATTAGAGAGTCAGTAACCTAATCCAAATATCACAATATTGAAGTAACTTGATTACCTCCCATTACTTTTGGATTACCTCAACACCAAATATGTAAATAGAGACCAGAGCAAAGATCAATAAGAAATATTGATGGAAGTGGATTCTATAACAGCACAATGTAAGCTGAGGAAATAAAATGGGAACCAAGACTTTAAGCATCAAGAAATGAGTGTATTTTTAAAGAAATATTTTAAAAATAACAATCCTGCTAATAATCCTAATTTTTTTTACCTAAAGTGTAACTGTAATCTGATTACATAACTGTATGTTGAGCGTTTGCTATAATACTTAAAGACAACAAAAGAAACCAGTGAGTCAACATCCATTTATTTTTATTTTTCTTATAAAAAAAAAAAATGTAGACCTTGTGGACAGACCAGTTCACAAAAAAAAACAACCGAAATCTAAATCTTCAGACTCTTTGAAAACAGAATCACAACATAGAGTCTTTAACCTAGATTTATTTTCATACATACATTTCAAACTTCTTTGTTCCTTTTTTTAAAAACACAGTAAAACGTGCCTCGCCTTTTCCAACGAGCGTGTGAAACAAAACCTTTTTACAAATGACCGATGAAAGAGCAAAAAAAAGTATTTCCAAAGGGAAACAAACAGATCTTAAAGCGTAACGCTGCAAATACATTCTTTTTCCAGCAGACAAAAACAAAAACAGTAAAATAAGCACTTTGGTCTTCCTCCTCAAACACACTGAAGATTGATTATGCTAGCATTTTTTTTTCTTTTAATGAATGTTAGTTTCAGTTAGCAGGAAATACTAACTCAATAACTGAGGTGACATTTAGGATGTTTTTCTGTGAACGTACCACGTAGGATTGACTTCAGAGAGTGAATTGTTGAAGGACTATACTAAGAGTTCAGAGCTAACGTTAACTTGAACCGGTGAGGTACAAAAAAAACAAGATGTAACTTCTTTTCTTCCATTTAAAAAAAAAAAAAAAGTGTTTATAAAGTGCTCAAGTCTTCATTGATGTTCAGACCGGGTTTAACTGCTGTGTTTGGAAACCTGTGACAGACTAACTATCATATTTCATAAAGCCTTAAATCTTTACTTCTTAAATGTAAATTAAATGTAATCTTGGTGGCGACAAACTGACCAATCAACCAGCTCTTTTAGCTGCTATTACGATAATTATACGGTATTTACGGTAAGAAATGACTAGAAAATTTCTTTAAATGTCACTTTTTGTCAGAAAAGCTCTAAAAAAAAAAGTTACATTTAGCATTCAACAGGGGTATTTCCTAAAAACAGAAGCCACTTGTAGACTCATGTTCACTCACTGTCACTATTTTCTACATATATGGATCTTTTGTCATTTACAGCTGTATAGTCACATGCATCATTTTTTGCTTCCATGAAATGTTGCATTGTGGGATTGTTTATAGAGGTTACTGCTTTCTGCAGAAACAGACCTTCTGTTTATTAATTTAGGAAGTCGGTTTCACAAAGCAGGAAATAGGCCAGTGTCCTAATCTGCACTTTACATTGTCGAGGCTCCGCTAACAGAAGTCGTTTCAACCAAATCTCATTCATTTCCTGCACATTTTAAGAGGATGTTGTACTTGAACGTTTGTTACCACCTACAGAGCACACGTAGGTGCAAATACTGTCACACCCACTGACGTGGGTTGATGAAATTAAATGAAACTTTTAAAAATAATTTGCTTTGCTGCAAGAATTGTTCAGCAAAACCTGACAAGACTTCTACAAGTGTGTGTCTGTATCTTTAACCTGTGGCCATATTGCTTTCAGCTCTGTCTAAACTTTGAGTAAATGTCACGTGTCTTCCACGTTCTGTTATTTCAATGAACTGTATGATTGTTCCTCTGGAGCCGGTGTGAGTGGAGGAGAATGAGTTACGAGGAAGTGAGAACTCAATAAAAATCTTTACATTCTTATTTGTCAAATATCAGGAAGTTACACCGAAAACATATCTTTAATTTTAGTGGATCATTTTCTGCAATAAACCAGCCAGATGTGAGATAATGAAGCGTCATTGTAACTGTAGTCTGATCACAATATATTGCAATAAAACTAGAAACAATTTCTTTTGTTATCGAAAGAAAACCACCGGACTAATGTTTGTATTTTTAAAATGGGTTTAAAGTTCGTAACAGAGTTTTGTAACTTACTCAACATATAAATAATAATAACTTTAAGCAAATAAAACATACAATTACAATAAAAATGTTTTTTTTTTGCCCCATCCACATCCCAATACTTTGCCTCTGAATGTGTGAATGAAAACCGAAGTGTCGCAAACGCAGCTGAGAACCTAAACCATCACGTTAAACGTAACAATAATACTAACACTTGTTGTAGACAGGTAAAATGTAGCATTGCTTTGTGTCATAAAAACACAAAAACGAAACAAACTACAATTCAAATAAAACCTAAGTAAAAACACTGAGTGGGTAAATAAATAGTTTGTGAATTGCACAAAGTGGGAACGTTGAAGGTCAAAGCACTCCGATATGTTCAGTCCTTCAGTCAGTCGACCGTTTCAAATCGATCAGTCGTGAAGGTCGATGCCGTTTCTCCGTTCATTGTCACGATTTGATCTTCCACAGCTGCGGACAGGAAGAAAACAGGATTTATGCTCAGATCTTATGTTTGGTTTATGAACGTTTAAACAAACAGTGTTAAAGTTTGATCTGCAGCAATAAAGAAAGTGTCCAGTTAGAGAAGTGCTGCAGCTTTAAGTACCAAAAGTAAAATTATTCATATATATATATAAACATAATGTTGCCAGTCGTCAAGGTGAAGCTAATTTTCTAACTACTTTCGGTTGAGTAGGTTAATATTCAAAGATACATAGACTATAGTAACACATCATTTAAGATCTCATGTCTTATGTTATATATGTTATATCCAGTAACTTGTAGCTATAGTTGTCAAATGTAGTGCAGTAAAAAGCACAATATTTCCCTATGAAATGCCGTAAAAGTATAAATATATTAACAAAGTAACATTAGTTTTAAATACTGTATACTCCAGTAAATGCAAATTGTACTTGTCTGTCTTCAGTCAGAACCAGAAAGTAGAAAAATGTATTTCATCTTTATGAAATATGTGGTGCAGAACTAGTTTCTGAAGTGCTGTAGCTGGCGAGCTAACTGCTAACTTGTTAAACAGCTGGGACACGCTGTCGCTCATCAGCCACATTATAGCTCTCAAAGCTAGCTGGCTTCATTTAGCAGCCTCAGTCACTGACAGGACAATGCAGAAAGTTCACAGACACGTTTGTATTTCTGTCTTGTAACTGTCTGTAAACCGTGTATCTTCTGTTCCAGGGTTATAGGGGAGTGTGTGGTGCAACACAGATAAACAACAACAACAACTATCAATCTCTCTCGGATTTGAACTCTCCGTTCTCTCAAAGGTCAGCACTGCGGGGACTGCTTGCTTGGTGTTCAACAGTGTGAGTCAAAGTTGAGGTTTTACTTCCCCGCCTGCGAGCTAATCTTCTACCGATGTAGAAAGTAACCCGAGCCTCAATAATCCTAAACACTGGACAACAGCAAAATAAAACCCACTCACCTTCAGGTTAAATCCTAATAGGTCAGATATGACTCCTGACACGGCGGACAGGATGACCACCTGGGTGATGTTGTAGAGCAGAGGGTTCATAGTCAGACCGTACAACCTGAAAGGAGTGTCTAACTCCTGGAGAGAGGAAGGGAGGGATACAACGGTTGTTACGATTATAAGGAATATTTAAAAAAAGTCCATTAAAAAGCAGTCGGTGCAGGTATTTGGAGCAAAACAACGGCACCTTGAGTAGTTTGGTAGCCAGTTTTAAGACGTTGTTGACCAGTGTCAGCTCCTCTTTCTTGTTTGGCTTCTTCTCCATCTTCAGATACAGGTTGATCTGTGAAACACACAATGGATCAATATCTGTGTCTGGAGGCATGTGGTGGTGTGGTTATGCATGTTGTTCTTTCTCTTTGTGTGTGTACCTGTTCAGTGAGCAGTATGGAGGTGTTGCTGTACTTCTTGCTGGTCTCGGAGCCCAGAGTGACGAACCTGAGCAGGAACAGGGACAGACTGGAGCACCAGATCACCAGTTCCCAGTTATAATGACACTCCAGGAACGTTTCATGGACGTGCAGCAACTGGAGGAAGAGAGGCAAGTACATTTACAGCCCACTTTATTTTAGTAGAACATTTATTTTCTTTAATCTGAGGCGTCAAGACTTTCTGAAGAACTTAAAGCCACTGTGTGTAAAAATTGAAAATATCTGATTTTGGCGCCTCCCAGTGTTGAAGCAGGACACTTCGCTGGCCAAAAAATGATAATTACACTGAAACTCTTCACATAGTTGCTTTAATTTCAAAATAGAAAGAAAAAACTAAATGGAGACTAAAGAATGTAACTACACATTGAAGCTGCGAGTGGTCTGTGTTGTTCTACAGGTTTCCAGTGCTGGTCGAGTTAAAAGTGAAGACCACATTAAGCATGTTGAAGCATGTCTTCAGTAACACATGGTTGATTACTGGGCTTTCACCAGCTGACCAATAACAGTTCTTGCTGTTTCTCTGTAGTGTGGTAGAAAATGGCCGCATTGTTATATTTACTTATACTCTTTGTTGTGAGAATGGTTCCAGACTGTGCAAACAGAAAGATTACGAGACCTTGGATCTGGAGATAGGCTTGTTTTGGGGTTCTGACATGATTCTGTTGTTGAGATCGCTCAGAAAAGCCACACATCCCTCCATGTGACTGTTTGATTATCAAGAAACCCCTATGTAACCCATGTTGTGTAGAGTCTAATCAGAGAGTTTATTCATCATGTAGTCACGCTGTAAACCCTCAACACACAACTATAAATCCAGCTCGAGTCAGTTCATTTTAAAAAGGGCGTTTACATGTGAAAACACGTCCACACTAAAACCCTAAGTCAGCAGCAAACATGTTTCTCAGCCAGTTAAACCGGCTCCTTTTCATTGTTGCCACCAGAGGTTGTCAGCAATACCTGCATGATGATGATGGATATCGAGGTATAACCTGATAACCTGATAACCTTTTCACAGCAGCCATGTTGACATGAAATAGTAGGATAAACACAGGTGTTACCAATGATAATAATTAGTTAACCTTAATGAGTATCATCTGTAACACCTGTGTTTACCCTACTATTTCATGTCAGTGGCTATGAAAAAGGTCTATTGTATACCGTCTCTAGCGGTCAGGAAGAATTCATAGAACAATGTTTAAATTCAGCTAATCTCATAATGTGTGTATTGTTCCGTAATATTAAAACCAGGAACTCCCAAGCTAACCAGTTTAATGTGTAAAGCCCATGTGAACTACCAGGTGAAACCTGTGGTTAACAGACGCTACCTGGGCACAGCAGATGAAGACGACGGACAGAGTGAGCAGGAAGGCAGACGACACGATCACATCCACTGAACGCTGAGGACCCCGTCTCTGCAAATGCATCAGTACAGAATTTCACTCGGTGAAATATAAAATATATAAATATAAATGCAAGTTTTCCCCGTAATTTACTATTAATTACAAAATCCAGTGCAAAAATGTTCCAAAGTTTGTGTACATCATCAGTGCGGTACCTTGAGGTAGGAGCGTAGCGACAGCCACATCTTGATGTTCTGAACTTTCTTCAGTCTAAAATGAGGGACTTCAGACTTCCTGGCTCTGCGGGCTGAAGTCAGGTGACCAAACAGCTTGGCAAACAGTAGCCTCTGAAACACACACACGAACATTAATTGATAAAAATTCAACTTTGGTGCAAAAACTCTCTCGCAGCTTCACCAGTTCAGAATGTCACTGTCTCACCTGTTTGTAGGTCCTCTCTGCTACGCTGAGCAGGAAGAAGAAGAGCCATATAAGGCAAACGCGCACCAGGAAGCTGAGTGTCACCATGATGATGACCAAGGCATCTGAGCCAGACTCGCCTCCCAGCGCCACAGACAGCAGCTCATTGGCTGAGAGCGTGGTCAGCTGATCCAAGTCGCGGTACTGAGCCAGCCTGCAGGAAATAACACACGACCAACACCCATGTTAGGTTTTTTTAGAGATTAAAGCAGATGAAATAACTTCACATATCGAGAGGAGTTACGTTACCTGTACGCAAAAGGTGTGAGGCCGAGTGTCACTGAAACCAGGTTCCCAAAGACCTGGTAACCAATACCGGGAGTGTAGAGATTCACCTGTGTGGGGAGGCACAGAAAGACGTCATGAGTTCTTTATTCCTCCTCTGATGAGCTGGTCAAACGTCAACGTGATCCTTTATTTACTCACTCTGTTCATGATCATGCCGCTGATCTCCAGGACGGACATGTCTGCCTTCTTACAGTCGTTTCCCTCCCACACTATGGCGCTCACTCTCTCCAGACCGGGGTTGGAGCTGTGCAGCCAGGGAACGTGACCCTGAGAGGACAAAACGTACATCATCCATTACAGCCACTTCATCGGCGGCGAGAATTTAACATCACACGGCTCAAATATGTTCTGAGGCTTCAGAGAGTTTGTTTTGGGCCAAAATGGCTGTTTTGATAGTAAAAGTTGCTGGTCCCTGAACTAGACGTCTAAAAACATTTCAATCAAACAAAGCCCAGTTGTTATTTAGAGTCCTATAAATATTCAGAGGTCTTATGTTGGAGGGTTTACAGACCTGATGGAACGGGTCGTCTCTGTATTCTTTTTTAGCAGGAGGACAGACAGGCGTCCCTCCACCTTCTCCCTCTGTAAAGAAAAGATTATCTATGAAGAGGGACATTAAAATGTTTTAGCAGGTACATCAGAAGCATTCAAACAAACAACTTTCTTTTGTTTATCATTTGTTTATCTTCTCTTCTAAGCTAATCTCTTCCTCTGACCTGTTTCTGAGGTGCAGGACGATCTGCACTCGGCACAGTGCAGGAAGTCTTCCCACATCAAGTCCTCTGTCTCCGACTCGTGTCGAGTGCTCTCGGAGTCCTGAGTCCTCAGACTGGAACATCTGGAGCTGCAGCTGGTGCCGGACTTGGGGACGTCCTGACAGACAGAAGAGAGGATTGTTATTTTGTGGAAAATAGGAAATTACATCTATTTTCTGACATTCTGACAAAGGGAACATGTTGTCTTCTGTGTGTTCATGTGTACCTCAACAGCGTAGTGTTTCTTGTAGTGGTGTGTACTCTTGCGGTTTCTGAGCGTACAGTCACTGTTCATTCTTTCAACTCCCCTGCGGAGGGTGCTGTAGGATGCTTCAGGGTCCTCCTCACTGGACGCCTCATCTGATGCTGGCTCCTAAAAGACAAAACAAATTAAAATAAAACAAGTCCTGCAGAGACAGACATTTTGTGTGTCTGTCATTTGCCGATGTAAATAATCAGCAACTGGTTTGATTAATCACCTTACTGCCGCTCGCCAGAATCAGTCCCGTGCTGTGGGGTGTGTGAGCGTGTGCGGGCTGGCCGTGAGAGTTCCAGCACACCTCGTCAGCCCTGTTCAGCGAATCACATCGCTGCTCGTGGAGCTGCAGCCCCTCCTCGCTGCTGCGATTGGTCACCCGGCCGTCCAGCGACACGTAGCCGTTGTCTGTCTCTGTCGACTTGTCGATGGACAGCTTGGACTTCTTAGATCTGAAAGAGGAAGCAAAGGAAGAAAAAGAGGGAAGAAGGGTAGAAGAAAAGGCGAGATTGATAGAGAGAGAGACATGTATAGATGGACAGATCGAGACAGACAGAGATTAGATAAAAGACACAGCAGGGTGGTGAGTTCATCAGTAATGATGTTAAATCTCAGAAGCAGACATGCAGTGAGATAAATCATACTAACAAGGATGCATTCAGCACAACACTGTGGAACATTCATACAAAATGAACTGGATAAGTTAATAAATGAATGAAAATGAAATAAGGGATAAAAAGCACTGCGCATTAAGTATCGTAACTATAATATCTCAACGCTAGTGTAATTGGTGATATCAGCTGCAGCAATATTAGATTTCTCAGTAAGTAATTAAAAAGTCTCACAAATTGGAATTTTAAACATTTAAAAAAGGTAAACAAGTGAGTAAATTTAGAGGTTTAATAAATTAATCACTGAGAAAAATGAACCCACGTGCTGAAGTGAGCGTGGCAGATAATCAATAGACGAAGTAACCAAATCAGGAGTTATTCAGTGCTCAGAAACGTTCCACACTGTTGCGGTCTGCTGAAAGCTGGTCAAAGTAGAAGCTTGGGGAGAATTATACAGTTAAAAAAAAAAGTCTAGTAGACTTTAAGTAAATATTTAGCTTGTGAAACTTTCAGATACGCCCCGTACTTCTTTTGAACACAGCTTGGTCAGCAAGTCATGCGCATCAAAAAAATCAGCTGCAAAATCCCTCCGATACCAAAGTCTGCTCTCGTTGGTTACATTTTGGTCACTCAGGAATCAACAGCCGGCCATATCCGGCTAAATGTCGACAGTAGAGGATTAAGAAATTAACGAGCAGGTCAGAATAAGGTTTTCTCCCATTAGAAGTGCAGATAGAAACTGGTTTCCTCCATGGTTTCTGGGAATATTAAAGCTAATAACAGGAGAGGAAGTGATGTTGCAGCTGAAGAAGCTCAGGTTAGGTCTGAGGCCAAGCTGGGATTCAGTTTTTGACTTGGTGTTTCAGATCAGTATGTTTATTTACTGGTTGGACAACATAACTTTGTAATTTGATGAAATTCCAGATTGTGAATTTACTAGTTTGACCATAAAAATTATTTTATTCTAACTAAAACTGGATAAAAAAAAAAAAGAACAATAACTTTGACGTGGGTAATATGTCGAACTGAATCCCAGCTCCGTCTTTTTTACATCATCTCGTTTTAGGAAGATGGGAAATGAAAATACACACCCAGCTTTACAGATATCATGCCAGAAATCTTGGAAGAGAGCGCCCAGGCTGTATGTGGTGCTGGTTGAGTGGGAGTGTGGCGCCCCCTCCTGTGTGTTATCGGTAGTGCTAGACCCATCACCTTCCCTATGCACCTCCATCTGAGATGCCTTCCTCAACTTCCTTCAGTTTGGAAAGAATAGAGGGGTGGAGAGAGACTTAGAGAGGACACTATGAAGAAACTACAGCAGTGTGTCCACCGGGAACCTGGCTGCATTTTCACATTGTGAGAGGACTTTTTTTTTTTTTTTAATCAGGTGTTACCAGTAAAAAAAAAAAGATCTAACCTTTACAGAAACTTGAGTTTTAAATAGCAAAGCACTGATGCAGCTACTGGTTCCCGAAACTCAGGCACCCGCTGGACACAGAGGCTGATACAGTTAAAAAGGCAAATTCCACTAAAATCCTCTTTTAGGTTGTTATTCTGCAAAAGTAGATTTTTTTATAAAAAATAAAGAGCATCGGTGACTGAAACTGTCTCATTTTCTGTCATATTGATTCATATAAATCATATCAAATTATTTAAAAACAAATAAACAACACTTAATTATGCCCATGTTTTGTTTTAAAAAAAAGGCTTTCAAAACTTTATTATAAAGAATTTCCCAGATTGTAAGATGTCATTAGAGAAAAGCATCACATTTCACCATATTTCCTTTTTCCTTTTGTGAAGGGATTCAGTGTCTACTTCTGCAGAATATTAACATAAAAGTTAGATTTAGTAGAATTGCTCCATAAAGATTTGGTTATTAATAAAAGGACACAGAGGAGAGGTGAAGGACAGGACTCTGTCTTTTGGTTTTCAAATTAAAAAGGCAGGATAAACAGGATGTTCATAAAGGGGAAAAAAAAATAACAAAACCCACAATTGCTGGTTTTGAATCAGAGCATTGAAATGGCAAATGTGAAAATAAACGCTGCTACTGTTACATGTAAATTTGGTTTGTGACCTCAATGCAGGTAAACAAATAGCACTCAGATTTTCCTTTTTTAAGAAGTCAAATAGGCTAATGACACATGAGTGAAATTTGGGACTCTTTTTGCCTATGAGATGAAATGTCTACGAGAGAGAGAAAGACAGATAGACAGAAACGTACAGAAACAAAATTGTGTAAAAATACCCCTTTTCATGATTGTCCCTTATTTGTTCTTGAAGTGAGAGTGGACCCAGGTCGATTCAGTGAAGGAGCAAACACCCCAAACTCAAAAACCTCCCCAAACCCTTTCCAAAACTGTGGCATGGTCCAATTTTCTTCCCAAGAGTGTGAAAATTGTCTTTACATCATTTTAGAACCAGAAACAGCAGCCACACACCGACAAGCTTTAAACCAACAGAGAGAAAATCACAAACTACAAGTCTAAAAAACTGCAAAAACCACATCAAGTAAAGCAAGCTACTTTCTACTTTCACACACAATGAATCCCATTTGTGGTTAACCACTGACATTAGTTTGATCATGGAGACACTTCCTTAAAACACTCCCATTATCAATCAAATGACTCGTCTAATTTTCCTGGTTTATATTTCCAAGAAGGATCCTCTTTGTAGGGATGTTAACACCTCATTTCCTGCCTGGCAGGTGGTCAGAACATAATCTAGATACAATACAAAGGCTGTTTTTTAAGTGCTGGTCCTAATTCTTGCCCATAAAAGATCTTTTAAATAACAAAGAACTGTCAAAATGATGTACATTTAGAAAGATTTAAATACTAAATTGAGTCTGAGAAGAGTCTGATGGGTGCTGATGTTGACAGAAACCTGTGGAAACTCTCTCCATGATAAACATGCTTCTGTTCAGTTTGATTTTTAGTGAAAGAAGCAAAGACAGTGAGGACAAAGCAACAAAAGACTTATTCATTCATTAGTTTCCACAACTTTCTTCATCCCCTCTTGCTCTATCTTTTGCTTGTTATCTCCATTTTCCATCTTTATGTGTTCCAGATTCTTCCTTTTAACCAGAGGGACTTTCTGATATTTGAATGTTCTCTTTCATCTGCTTTGTGACTAATCTATTCCTGCTCCTCTTCTTTTATCCTTTACTTGATCTTTCCTCCTTTCTTCCCCTCTCTCCAGCTCAATTCCCCTTTATTGTTTTGCACTACTTTCCCTGGAAATGTTTCATGTTTCTAAATCTTTTTTCTTCAGTTCCCTCCCTCTCATATGTAGTATTTCCGTCCTGTTTTTGCCCATTGTTACCTGCGTCTCTTCCCCCCGCTGCTGGAGGTGGGTTTTGGTGTCCTGGTGGAGACGATCTGACAGTGGACGGTGCCCAGCAGCAACATGAGCCAGATGGCTCCAAACACCTCTGTGGTCGGTATCCCATGAGGCTGAGGGATGCTCACGTACAGGACTGCTGCTGCCGCTGTGGGAGAGAGACAATTTATTACAACATCACAAACAGAGACATTAAATGACAGTGTCAGAGAATAAGCAGCTTTGTGAGGTCAAAATGACATCTTCTTCAGGCTTGATGAAGATCCAACTGGGATCAAAACATCTGACATTAATCACACAGTGTAACAGACAATTTCTTGTATTTAACACATATATAATTCTATGACAAATAAACATCTAGCTGCTGAAACAGGCTTAAAATTGAGTGAATGTTGGACTGAAAGGTGTGTGTGTGAGTGTTTTGATGTGGTGTGTGAAGGAAGTGAGCAGGAAGGGTGGAGGGTTGGAGCGAGAGATAAAAAACAATAAAAACTGTTTTTGTGAGGGCTGAAAAGGCCATCTTGATGTAGGTGGTGGAAAACACCATTCATTGGTCTTGAATGTGTTTGTGCGGCAAGTGTGCAGCTCTGTAGGCGTAAAACGCCCGGGAGTACTCCGTGCTCGCAAGATGTATTTTAAGAAAAACAGCAGATCAGACACACAGTAGCAGCTGAACATCTTGTGATCTTTTCCATAAACATCCACTGAGGATCGGTTCTCTTAAAACTAGGAATTGTAGATATGAAATGAAGCATGATTTCGCAACTGTATGACCTGTATCTCATATTTAAGAAACAGATGTTGGTGCACAGTTTAGGCATTTCCACCACAACACCGACACCTACCCTGCAGCAGATAGAGGACCAGCAGTAAGAGGAAAATGGCCCTGGAGGTGACCTGGATCCACCATCGATAAAAGAACGGGAAGAATACGACTCGGACGATGCCCTTCCTGGTCAGCGACGTCCACGGACTCTCTGGCTTGGCCTTGGCGAACGCCGAACCTGAGGATGAAGAGAGTAAATACACACTCAGGTTAACGGGAGCTAATTAGGGACTCTGCGGTGAGCAGAAAAGCTCATCACCGGAGTCACGTTAGAGCAGCGTGTTTATCCTCCCCCTTTCTGATGCCGGCAGATCTTCTCTTTTCTACTTCCCCTTCATCCTTCTCTTCCTGTGTATCTAATCTCTCTTGTTTATCTATCCGTCTTCCTGTGCAACAATGAGGATAAATTTGACCGATCTGATGAATAATTGAAAATGTGATGAATATGAGACAGATACGAAGAGATGAGAACGCAGATAGAGAGATGAAGACAGAAAGAGCGAGGATTAGCGGTGACAGGAGGTTGGCACGGCGACGCCGGCATCTCAGGTTCATGTGTGTGTGCGTTTAATTTCGACGCCAACGCCGAGCAGACCAATGGTTTTAGTTTTAGCAGAAAGCCGTCTGGTATCTAATCTAATTAGCTTGATGGAAAGGAAGTGTACACACACACACACACACCCACACACACAACACACTTTGGTTCTCACTCTAACCAAGTCCACATCTATAAGGTCTGGTTCTGACCATGTCCTGTCTTCTTTGGCTTGTTTCTCAAGCCCTGCAGGGTGGGGACAGAGAGACACAGAGGTCAATAACAAAGAAGAAGCAGAGGAAGAAATTTATCAAACATACTCACTCACACACACACACAAACACACACACACACACAGCACAGGAATTCAACTACAGGAGGTTCATTGTGCACTTTATCGCTTCATAAACACACACACATTTAGTGTTTGAGGAGGCACACCGTGCATTCAGGCTCTCACTGCTACAGGATCTCTTCTACTCACATATACCAGATTTAACTCGACATTTTCAGCCTGATCTTAAAAACAAATGTTGACATTTGCTACTTGGCGTTCGTTAGAGAGTTCAGACTATAAAAAAACATAACAAAAACAGCAAAAACATCCCTAAAGACCTGTAAACCAGCTGTGTCATTTCAAAACAGTGTGTTATAGTCGTCATTCATCCCTGTGAGGTTTGCTGTTAGAGCCTTTAAGTTGGTCGCTTGTGCAGTTTATGACCCTGGGAATGACGCTCCCCTGTGGCACGCTTGTTTCCTGTGCCCGCCAGCCACTTCCTCCTACAATGCATACACTTCATCTGTGTGTGTGTGTGTGGGAAAGAGTGTGTGACTGCTCTGTCAGCTGTGATGACAAACTGTACTGAAACTTTTTGTGACCGTAAATCCTGCATGACAGCCTTTCTGTGTGACTCACAACAGGTACAGTAAAAACAAATTAATATTTAGAAGATGTGAGAGAGGTGAGGTACAAAAGTACAGAATGTCTGCTATGGTGAGTTACTATAGTGAGCCCAACAATAGTTTGGTTTTAATGAGGTTTCTTATCAGGGACTGTGGGTAAATACCACAGTGAAGTAACCTTTTGGATATAAAATCACTCATGTGTGTCATTACATTTTATCCTGTTGGACATTAATGTGCAATTTTCTCATAATTAGCGCATGAATTCTTGAGTT